TGCTTGACGGGACCACTGCGGCCCGGTGATGGCCATGCTGCCTGGGGTTAAGCGTTTAGGGTTTAGGGTTTAGGGGTTTAGGGGTTTAGGGGTTCAGGGTTTGGGGTTTAGGGTTTAGGGTTCGGGGTTCCAGGCTTAGGGAGCTAGGGTTCAGGGTTCAGGGGTCCATGCTTACGTAGGGTTTGGAAAGGTCGGAAAGGAGCTCGCCTTCACCACTGTGTGACTGAAAAGTTAATTCAAAAGTAAACGTCACCCCATAGTCGCAACTATAGCCCTAAGATGAGAACTCACCTTGCATTCCCTCACAGAACTATAGCGTGATATACCCCAAGATGCGAGTCTGCCCCTCTGCGGAGATTATTGCCCTGATGCAGCGCGAGCGGGAGTGCTCACAGTCTGGAAATGGCCAGAGACTTTAGGGGTTAGGGGTTTAGGGTTTAGGCGTTTCGGGTTTAGGGTTCCCTGCCCCCTCGCAACCATTCAAACCTCATGGAATCCTTTGCAAATCTTTGTGAAACCGATCCGTAAGCAATGGAATCTCTTCTAAAGCCAATCGAAACCCTGACCAAACCCGGCAAAACCCACATAGAACCCTATATAGACCAACAAGATTGATCAACATGGACCCTAACCTTGTCATTTCACCCTACTGTGGGAAGAATAGGCAAGGACTGTTCTTGGTGTTTTGGGGTAATATATATATATATGTATATATATATATATTTTTATTTATTTATTTATTTATTTATATTTGTATTTATATTTATATTTATATTTATATTTATACTTATACTTATATTTATATATTTATATTTATATTTCTATTTATATTTACACTCATTTATTTAATTAGTTATTTCTATGTTATACTTGCTTAAATTGGAACCTGAACTCTAAAGAAAGCAGCCAGGTGACGGGTGACAACAAAAAGTCGAACATCACAGCGGAGCGGTGGGAGGCGACTGCGGGGCAACCGCCGAAAGACCACCTTCGGTTGAGGGCTTATAGGGTTTAGGGGCTGAGGGGTTTTTATGGGTGTTGAGCTTAGGGTTTCAAGGCTTAGGGTTCAGGATGCTTTCGGTGTGGAGTTGCAAAGGGTAGGGGGTGTCAGATTAGGGTTTCGATGCTTAGAGCCCAGCGTTGTTGAATTCGCCTTTAGGCTTAGGGCCATCTACCCACACTGGCTACAACATGTCTTTGCCACGTCCCCCTTCTCTAAATCAGGCCCTAAACCCTAAACCGCAAACCCCTACACCCTAAACCCTTTTTGCGTCCTTTTTTATACAGGTGCCGTACTATTTCGGGACCTGAATTTTCTGAGGGACCCTAATTTAGAGAACTAACCAAATAGAACCCCTTATGGAAACCCTATAGAAGCCCTTATAGATCCCTTTAAGGAACCCCCGAAAAACGGAACCCTAATGTAGAGAACNNCCTAGTTTAGAGAACTACCCACTTGGCAGAGTCTCCTCGCCTCTTCGCCGGGGCTCATCGATCCCTGCCGTGCAGCCCAAAAAGCTCATGCATTAATGTACTGACCTTAGTAATTAGAATGGGGTTTGGG